TTGAACCACAATACCGATAAGTGATTAATAAAAGTCAAAAGACCAAAGAGGTCACCTTAATACCAAAAAAAAAAATATTAGTGCACATGTTAACAACAAACACTATATATAATCAAACAATACTAATTAAAGTTATATTGATTACATATAAAAAGACTATTTAACATACAGATTTTTTTCTTACAATTTTGATAATAGTAACAATTCTATATTAAGTAATTATTATTTTTTTTTTATTTCTTAAACTTTTACTAATATATATAGCAAACTTTTATGTTATTATACTGGTATTAAGCACAGAAGTTTAACTGAAAGGTCATGTTACCAAAAAAATGAACAGAATTTTCTGATTTTATTTCTTACAAACTTAAACATTAATTTACATAATATTTTATTTAATAATAATACTAAAAATATTAAAACTACTTGACATAAACATAAAATTGAATATTTGATTATTTATATTACAATACATTTTATTTTTAACAAAAATTTTGTAAACATAATTATAATCACAAATACTCTTCTTATAACATCTCACTTTATTTATCTCTTAATGTTAAAGAACTTAAACACTTAATCAAAATTATTTAAAATACTAACAATAACTTAGATACTAACTTAATCAATTCTAAAATTTTATTATGATGATTTGCTTCCGACTTCTAAGTCAAAATTCATAGAATAAATTTTACATACACGTTATTTATATGATAATAAGAAAAAAAAAATACCAAGTTCAAAATTTGACGCGTCGAATTTTGAGCATTGGTATACACTTTATTTACTCGCACAATTCATGCTATGTTTTGAATGTGTTGAGTCTTATGTTGAGATTTACACACCAGAGCTATTTTCGTTGTTGTTATGCCCAGATTATGTAACGGCTGTTTTAAATAATATATTAAAGGCTGATATATGAAATAATAAGGTCGGATTTATTAAATCATAAGATATACAGATATAAAAAAGGCAAAAATTGTAAATTTATTAAATGATAAGTGGCAATATCGATATGGAAAATATAATTAAGAATGAATTTAATTTACAATAATAAAGAATAATATTTTTTAAAATAACGTCAAAACAAATGACGAAATTTAAATTTTATTAAGACGATATTTTATCAATTAGAATTAATATGCAATCATAAAGTGATTTTAAATTCCTAAAGATAATAAACAACTAAGTTAATATAGATTGACTAAAACTTATTTGTTATAGACATTTAATTATTGTTTTAAGATATTAATCTTTGATAAAAAATTTTATCGTCTTCGTCTCTTTGATTGAATTGCTTTTAAGATTTCGCTAGCTCTTTTTTTTCCTCTTCTTTTTACTTCTATTCCCTCACTTTCATCGCTACAACAACAACTCTTTTCACTTTCTTCATCACTTTCTTCATCACTTTCGTCATCACTTTCAGGTATTTCCCAATCCAGAAGGTCCTTTGGAGCAATTGGGTTTAATAAAAACGATTTCCGATGTGGGCACACGTAATTCGGAGCCATGGTCGTATCAGGGAAGAGATTACGTAGCTATTAAATATATATATATATATATATACAAATGTATTACAGTATAAAATTTTACCTATAAATTAACACAATAAATATAGAAATAATTATACTTTATCAGATCTCCGAGATATATCATGTAAGTTAAAGGACGCGTAATCATTCTCATTCCTTTCCTCAACGTCGGAGATTTCAGGTACATCACTTTTGTTTAGAAACTTTTTTATCTCATCTAAGTTAGACTTTTTAGTATGTTTATCATTTTTGATGGAACGGTATCTAAACGCCTCCATACGTTTGGTCATCTGCTATAAGATTCATTTAAAGGTAAGTAAGTATAAGAGTATAGAGCAAAAGCTACAACGATAACCGCAATTTAATTTTATTTCATATATTATATAACGATAAATTTAACGTTAAATGTCTAAAATAATTACTTCAGGATCCCGATGAAATGATGATATATTTCGGGATGGTCTGGGGTATTTTCGTAGAATATCGACCAACTCATGTCGGCTTGTCTTGTTACAATCCCCTAAATTGTTGAAAAAATCAGGAATCGCATTTTCTATCATTTTGTCTTTCTTCTCGGACCCTTTTTCTTTTAGATGAAGGAATACTTCTCTCTATAAATACAAATACTGTTAAGATGTAATAAAATTAATAATAATCAATATAATTTATATGTTGATTATTTACACAAGGCGCCTTTTTTCGCTTCATATCATCCTCAACCATTGTATTCAATCTGGTTGTTGCCTCCGAAGTAGACCTTCGTAATGCATTCGTTGAAGATTCTTCCATCACCCACTCAAACGAGTCTTGATCTTCAGATTGACTTGAATCGTGTAACTCATCAATCTCATCAATTAAAGTGCTAATGGTAGACATCAAAAAATTTATTTTGTCCGCCATATCTATGATATTATAATCTTGCTGTATTGTGGTAATATGAAGCTCGTCGATTACTTTCCATAGCCGCCGATTTTCTAGAAATTAAAATTATAAGAATTCAATTATAAATAAATGATTAGATAAATAAAGTTTACCGTTTTCTAATTCTTCTAATTTTCTATTTCTTTTCATTGAATCATGTTCATATTCTTCTTGGATAATAGGAGAGCTAGGTAGAACATTAGTGTGTCTAGATGGAGTGATTGGTGAAGTCGTAGTTGGTGTGATGAATACGGCGGGTTGAGAAGTGGATATGGCGGGTTGATTAGTGCTAGATTGTGTGGTGGATGTAGCTGATTCAGTGATGGAAGGTTGTATGGTAGAAGTAGGTCTATCGCTATTAGTGCTGGATTGTGTAGTTGATGTGGCTGATTCAGTGATGGAGTGTTTTGTAGTAGAAGTAGTAGGTCTATTTGAGTTGGATTGTATAGTGGATGTGGCTGATTCAGCGGTGGATAGTTGTGTAGAAGTAGTAGGTCTATTAGCGTTAGTGTTGGATTGTGTAGTGGATGTGAAGGGTCTAGTGGTAGTGGGATATGTGCTCGAGGGTTTCTTTGTTTTCTTCATTTTTGGAGATTGAAAGTGAAGGAGATAAATGAAAGGTTGAGAATTATGGTTTAAAATCAAAATTGTAGAGAATTGAAAGGTAGAAAGTAAATATTTTTAAAAGAAAAAGATCGAAATATTTGTTCAATTCAGTTATAATCGTTATAAGAATTTCACTTCTATGAAAAAATTCGTGTCGGTAAGTATCGTTATACGATTAAAGGAATTTCGAAGAGTTGGGGAATAATATAATACGTAAGGAACGAATATTAATATTGATAGAATGAGCACGAAATATTTTATAAGGATTGAATCTCTAGACAACCTCCATTATTCATAATTGTAGGTAAGTTGACCCAAATTTTAGGTTCGCATTATATTTATTTAATCGATCCAATGTCTTTATTAATCTTTTAGATTCGTGTCTATATATACTTTACGTGGCACTATCACTATCACATAAACATACTAACATGTTAGAATCATAAGTTACCGTAATCGGTCCGGCACAGAATTGATTGCAAAACGCGTGCATAAAACAAATTACTCTTATAATTGAACCTGCATAAAGTAATAAAAAATGCCTTTGTTTCATCCGAAAATATGTGCCAGAATAGGTACTTATATTATTCGAAGATCTCGAATGATTTATTTAAATGTTTGCCATTTTTACCGTATGTAAACAATAACAATAACAAAAATGCTTTTTATGTAAAAATACAAATATCGTTGCTATATAGGTCAATTTCAGCAAATCGATTTCTCGCTAATGTCAAACAATCAAAATTTTTATATCTGTTGATTGATAAACTTTTAATTTTTCGATTCAGCTTTCGTTAATGTAACAAGAAAAGTTAAAGACGCAGGAGAAAAAAACAAATACAATTCATTACATAAAAATAATTTCTATGTACTAAAAGGTTTTTATGCAATGTATTGAAATTTATGCTTTTATGTAACAACTAGTGATGGGACCTTCGAGTTTTTAGTTAATAATAAAAACATCAATAACTAATTACGTATTAATAGTTAGTAATAACCAATAATTCGATCATTGTTAATAATTCCTATGCGATCACATTAAAAACTGCATATTAAACAATTGTATGCAAAAAATTGTAATGAAATCAAGCTTTTCAACACGTAGATAAATTGACTTTTGGTTATTATAATGTTTTTATATAATTTAAATCAATTCACTAAGTCATACATTATTAAGTAGTTTTTAGTTAATAACTCGGCCAAATGTTAATAATTAATTATTAATTATTAATAATTTGAGAGGTCCATCACTAGTAACAACTAAAGTTATCTTTATAAATTTTGAAACCTTTAAATTTTATTGATTGCGTAATCAAATAACTACTGTGCTGTGGCGTCTTTGTTAATATCGATATGTCATAAAATAAGTAATTTGATCATTAAGACAATATTGATATTTGGAGTCTTTGACTTGAAAATCAAGTCCCATAACTTGATCTTCAAGGCAGAGATCTCATTTCTCTGCTAACTTTTATCGCTGTTTTCGAAATAGTAAAAAATGATATATAAAATTTTTTTTAGTGAATACTCGAATACTCGATTATCCGATGCCTGATTTTACGTACATACGATACAATCGAGTATTCGGATATTCATCAGAAAAAATTTTGTGATTAGCTAGTTTAAGATACATGATAAACCTCACTATTTAGCTATACCAAGAGTTTTATGAACACCTTTGAATATTATTACCTCTTGCCTGAGAATTTTAACCCAAATTTCTACGAAAATTTAAATATTTCAGACCTGTTTATTGCTCTTGTACTATGAGAATTTTAAATTTCTTGTTGCTTTCATCCAATTATAAGAATTTTAATGTGTATGCCAATTAACTTTTGTGCTAACCGCGAGAAATTTAATACTTTCTATATTTACCATACAACATACGCTATAAATGAACTGCTTCTTTGATAATATTTTGTCTTTCAAAAAAAAAAGAAACATTACATATTTATGAATATTCTGTCTCAATCAGTGTTCAACTATTTTTAGCATTTAAAATAGCTCTACTATCCTATATAATTAAAACAAACCAATTTCATTCAACTTTAAATTTTGGTTGTGATTATTGCTATTTTAGAGCTAGACATTTTTATTAATAACAATAATTATAATAACCAAATACTTATGCGTGATTTGCTTTAATTCTTAAAAAATCATAATAGGACGATAAATTAACTAATGCTAAATAATCAAACATCTGTCAGCAGACTATAAATGAAAATCGGAATTAAAACATCTAATTAAAATTCTCCAGATGCTAATGTTTTATTACAATTGATTTATTTCAACTGAATAAAGTTACGTTTGGTAGTTTTTTTTTTTTTATAACAAAATACTGGTTTAAGCTTTTAATAAGTGTTATATTCATATGAATTTCGTAATTTACAATGATTTTGACTGCTTAATCGATTTAACACACTAATATTAGAGTACAAAAAAGTTTATATGGTTAATCGTTAACAATAAAAAATTTGCTGGCCAATCTGATTTCAAGATCAGGCATTACGCAGAAGAAACGCAAAAAATCAAAACATCCCCCAAAAAACAACATTTAACCTATGAAACCACCTTTTGCGCATTAACAAAAAGTTTTCCTTGCGAAATTTTGGTATTAGAGGAAACACTTAACAGTGAAACCTGACCCTAATCTAGCAGCGAAATTTTTTTTGGCGAAATTAGATCATTTTGCACGCATCACAAACACCTAATCCATTATATTTAAGAAGCAATCATTGACAAATTCTTGTTTTATTGTTCAAACTCATAATACCATAAATAGAAAAGCAACAACAACAGAATAATAAATAAGATTACGCGTTACAACTTTGGCATAATTCGCCACATTTTACCATCTAAAATTCAATAATAACTTCCAAAACGCTATTGTAAAAAAAAATAAATTTAATTGAATATCATAAAAATTATCAGGGATTACAAAACTTAGTAAGTTATTTGATGCTTTTTGCGTGTTTATTTTGGCTCAATCGGTTTTAGACTGACTGATCTTATCAGCTTCTGAGAATTGACGTTTAATTTCATTATCATTGTCTTGTTCCATCTCGTCAAGCCAATAAACAATTCGTGAATTAATGATGGTAGCTATTGGTCGTTTTTTCGGGTCTGGATCCATGCATCGTTTAGCTAATGTAATGTAACATTCTGGAATTCCTTCATTAAATCCTGGCCGTTCACCTCGACAAATTTTTAACGAAAGTTTAAGATCAAAAGGTATACCATCAAATGCTCTTTTTCCATTCGCTATCTCTGTCATAATAATGCCAAGACTATAGGTATCAGCTGCTTGTGTGAAAGTTTCTCCTTGTAGGACCTCTGGAGCAACGTATGGAATAATTCCATAACTTTCATTCTCTTGTCTTATACTAACTGATGCAGAAAGACCTAAATCAGCGATATACGCGCTATGTAAATCATCTTGTAAAATATTTTTACTGTGAAGATCCCGATGAAACAACTCTTCAGAATGAATAGCTTCAAGGTCAGATACGATACAATTCAATAAATTTAATTTATCTTTCCATTTCATTTGTGATACTGCGACAATATTTTTGTACAGAGACCCAGTTTCTGCATACTTTAAAATGATTATATAATCTTTTGTTTTTTCATCTTGTGATATTCCATAGCATTGTAAGAAAGAAGGATTGTTGAGTCCAATTTCGGTGTACGCTTTTAACTACAACAATATAAAAATAAATATACTAAATAAATAAATCATCTGATGGGTGCCGCAAAAAGAAAAACTACCTTTCGACTTTTAAATTTATAACTTACTGAACTCAATCTGATGGGATGAATCCAATAATTTAAAAGTCCAAGTGTGGTTTTCTTTGGCGGCACCAAAATATTAAATAATCACCTCATTTATAAATTCCTGAATCTGAGTGCTCGAATTATGGATTATTTTTAACGCAACAGAAATCAAATTATAATTATAAAAAGTTACTCTTGACCATTTAGCGTGGCACACGGTAGCAAATCCACCTTTACCAATCACTTCAACAATTTTAAATTCAGAATAAGGAATCCAAGATAATTCATATTTATTTTCTTTCAATATTTTTTTTAAATTTTCGTTAATGTTTAGATTTTCGTATTTTGATTTAATTTCATTTGAAAATTGATTTCTCTCCTTTCTAAACCAATAATTGGCTTTTGGTAAATTTCTTTCTATTCCTATTCCATTTCTATAACAATGACCAATCATATGAAATCCATTAGCATTTTCAAATTCAGCAGCTTTTTTATAACAAATAAATGCCTTATTTTCATTCTTTTCAACTCCAATTCCCTTTATGTAACAATTACCCATATTATATAATCCTTCATCATCACCCATATCAGCAGATTTTTGAAAATAAATGAATGCTTTATGTTCATCCTTTTCAACTCCAATTCCATCTTGAAAACATTCTCCAAGTGCACATATTCCACTAGCGTTCCCCATCTCTGCAGATTTTTGAAAATAAATAAACGCTTTATGCTCATCCTTTTCAACCCCAATTCCATTTCGATAACAATATCCAACCATATGTGTTCCATCAGCGTTCCCCATTTCAGCAGATTTTTGATAATAAATGAATGCCTTATCTTCATTCTTTTCAACTCCAATTCCTTTTTTATAACAATATCCAACAGTACATGTTCCATGAACGTTTCCCATATCTGCTGATTTTTTATAGTATTCGAACGCTTTTTTCTCATCTTTTTCTACTCCAATTCCTTTTTCATATCGATATCCAACATTATTTGCTACTGTAGCGTTACCCATCTCTGCAGACTTTTGATAATAAATGAATGCTTTATGTTCATCCTTTTCAACTCCAATTCCTTCGTCATAACAATGTCCAACTTTATATATTCCTAAAGCATTACCCAACTCTGCAGATCTTTGATAATAAATGAATGCCTTATGTTCATCCTTTTCGACTCCAATTCCTTTTTCATAACAATGCCCAATATTAGATATTCCTGTAGCATTACCCATATCTGCAGATTTTTTATAGTATTCGAATGCTTTTTTCTCATCTTTTTCTACTCCGATACCATGTTCGTAATTATGCCCAAGATTTACAAACTTGCTCGAGTTTTCCTTGTTCATGTTTTTTAAAGTTATATAATAATTTTTATCATAATATTTCACTTAATTCTTTTTTAGATATTTCTTTTAATAATTCATTTATGTTCTTGTATTCGTTCTTGGTTCTAATTAGAATTCGATTTTGTTTTTATTTCACAAAAAGGCCTAAATTAATGATAATTTAGCTGAGCACTTTGCGTTAGATAAACATTTGGCAATTTATCATCTGGACTGTTCCGATTGATAATTAGGACAAGGAGCACAACATATATAAACCGTGATTCAAAATGGTTAAATAAATTTACAGGATAAATTAGGTTTAAAATTTTTTTGCATAGAAAGCAGTATTGTTGTTAAAGTCACTATTTGGACTTTTGAACTATCGATATGGTTATTTACCCGTTCAGTCAAGTCTGCTCTGCATAGTTCTATAACTATAAGTTCACCTTATTGGTTTATAATCATACAATTACGTGATTTATCTAAAGTAGCGCTTGGATAAAATTAAGCCCCTTAAATTAGATCTTCATGCATGCATTAAGTTATAATTTTAGCCAGGGCGCTACTTTACTACTTCAGATGCGACATCAGCACATTCAATTGTATTGACTCAGTTAATATAACCGATATATTAGTTCAAATAGTTAATCAACATTGTCTCGGTTAAATTAACAACATAGATAGGAAAGGTATGCTGTATGTATGCAGTAGGGTTCTGCAAGTGCCAGGCACAGGCCTGGGCACCATTTTTAATAGTATCTTGCAGAACCCTAGTATTCAGGAACACGATCAGGGCGGTCGATGGTTTTACGGGTCACATGATTACGCCACATCCGCAGTTTGACAATACGAACCAATTTTATCGTAAAGAATTTCTTTCTTGTATCAAAAAGAAGAAAATTCTTCCTAAATAAACTATCTCAAACCATTAATGGTTAACGACATTAATAATGTTTATCAAAAGAACCGTCATTATCAGCTTTACAAAATCTCTTATGCATTAATATCATAGAACCATTTTTGAAAGTGACTCATAATTATCATAAGATTCAACAAAATGTTCAATTCGGTCTAAGTTCATTAGCATGAGCATGAAAGTGTTCAATATTCTCGATGGTCATGTCCATAATAATTAGTTTCAATAAATATTGTACAGTACCATTCAAGCATTTGTAAAGGAGCGTAAGTACGTACTTCATTAGATCTTTGAATTATTCAATATCATATTAAATAATTACAAAACTTTAAGAAAGCGTCATTTACTTTCGCGCCTTGTAAAGGGTGATTATTTTCCATATTTTTAATATAAGACGATTCAAAATCGAACAAACTTTATTAATTTATATTATAATCTGGTTATTATGCAAGAAACCTAAAATTGTAAGAAAAGTTTGTTTACTCATCGCGTTTGTTAGCAAGTCTTTTGTGAAGCTCATCGCGTTTGTTATGCAAGTCTTTTGTACGTTTGTTATGTGAGCCTTTTGTGAAGCTCATCACGTTTGTTGTAATGTATACAAAAGGCATTTACTTGATCGAAATTAACCCATTACGTTTAGTAGCCTTTTTGAAAGTTAGATGGCTACAAATCGCGTAAGATGAAATTAAAATTCGGGTTACCAATTTAAGCTTATTAAATACTTATGCATTACATAATTAATACGTATATCAAAATTTGCAATTGTTATAATTGTTATGCGAGCGATTTAATTTATTAGACGATTCAGCTATTTAAAGAATGACGCATTTGTTATATTTATTATATAATAAATTTGTAATTGTACAAAATTTCTTAAATAAATTATATAGTACAATAAAATTGGCACGATACATTTGTAATAAATTATTATGTTAATAATTGAAACAAATATAAAATAAAAATCACAAACGAATATTATCTGTGATCATTCATCCTTGGGACTTTGCGCATAATGGTTTTTCATTATCAATATTTCTGGCTTTGTCTTGGTTGCCTCGGTTGCCCAACAATAAGCAAATATTAGTTTTTCGAATAAATATCAAGTACGGTTCACGATGGAAGTCAAATTTTCTAAAAAAACGACACATACTAAAATCACATACCTGAACATAATATCTAAGTATTATCAACACTTAACTTTATTCACAAAACATGTACTGTTCAAATTGCAAATGTAATCATTCCGAAGATAAATTTATTTGGAATGGTACTTGACATAAAGCTTGCAGAAGGCGTAAAGATAATAGTGATCAAAACTCTAAAAAAAAATTGTCAATTACAATTACAAATTCAATTACTGAATCAGTTGAATAGCCTGAAAATATCGACAATGATACTATTCAGGAGGTAAATATTAATGATATTGCATGTGTAGAGATCGACTGCCTTGATGTGAGGGACCTTATTAAGCATGAAATCGAAGAGTTAACAATTAATGAGTCTGATGCAGCCAGTACGGTATATCAAGCACATTTGCTTGTGAATGTAGATATAACTTCAGACATGATGGCCAAGGACGTTGCTGCTCTTATTGTTGCTGAAATAGAAGGTGGTGATGATTATTCATGGAAGTAAGTATATAAATTTCTTTTTTTTCACATGTGTGAATGTTTCTTGGTGCTTAATTAATGATTTTTCTGATTCTTATTATAAAATACTTATCATTATAGTTTTTATCACTCCGAAATCCAAAAAATTCGGTGAAATGGTTGGTAGGTTTTATTATATATGTTGCCAATCATATGAGGCGCAGAGAGCATATAAAGATTCAAATCGAAAAAGGAGACTGCATTACGACTGCAAAGGGAGTATTATAGTGAAAGTTGATATGAATCTTGGTGTCTCGGTAGTAGACATTTACCACAGGATCCTTCATCCGCATCCAGACCTTTGTTCTGAAATGCCTATTGAATTGCAAGAGGAAATTAAAGCAAATGCGCATCTTACTTCTGTGCAACTTACAAATCACTTATGATACCAAGGGTTTAATATTTCTAAATACTTTCCAAAATGAATCTATTTTTGGAAATCCATGGCAGGTAAAAGTCTTTTTCAATGCCATGATAATCATGTAAAGTCTGCACATATGCTACTCGATAAGCATTATGATTAGGGTTACCATCAGTGCCTTGATATATCAAATTTAAAATCTCCTGCAATTGTATTTACTACTTCTCTATTAAGTGAAATTAGTAATCACAATATTAATATTAATGAAATTTATGTAGATGTGACATATAAAACTGCTAGAGGGCATTTTGAGTTGTATTGCATAATAGCAGATGTGAATGGAACTGGATTTCCAATAGCTTATCTAGTATTAGATATGACAAAAATAATAGATTCAGATATAGACAAGTGTAGTGAAATTTTAAAAAAAATTTTTGAAGCAGTAAAAACACATAATATTAATCCATGTTTTGTATTTATGAACAAGGATTTCGTGGAAATTAATACTACAATAGAGGTATGTATAGTGATACAAATCATTTAAAATTTTTTAATCGATTAGTTAGTTAATTATTTTTTTAGTTGACAACTAGCTAAACTAATCAATTAATTGATACCATAATCAATTAATTAATTCAATTAATTGTTTCAATCAGTTAGCTGTTAATTGATTAGTTGGTATCAAAAGTTTTAATCGATTAGTTATCAACTAATTGATTTTTTTTAATTTATAATTTGTAATACTAGGTATGGGGATCATCAGTCATACAATTATGTGCTTGGCATATTAACTAGGTCCTGAAATTTAAACTTAAAGAAAAGTCTAAGTAATCAAATCATACAGGATTGTTAACTATAAAGTATGATGCTAATAAAGCATCTGAAGAATTCAACTTCATCAATCCAATTTTTTATTTAACTGAAGAAGATCAAAATATACATACATATATTATATGCCTACAAGTTCATAATGAGACAATTTTGAACATTATACAAAAACATTTCAATTTACATTCATTTATACCAATTGACAATCAGGGAAATGTTTTGATACCTGAAAATATTCGATGAAATGTAGTAAAGGAGATGTATCAGTTTTGTGTTATGAATGCATTGTGACTGTTATGGGCTTATCTGTAGACAAATTGGTACTCTTCACAATGATGGTGCCTGTAGGCATGATTAGCTAAACCAACCATACCCTTTAGCAAAAGAATAATAAAAATTAAGACTCACTGGAGTGTTATAAAGTAACATTATTTGCATCACTTTAATTGACCAAGGTTAGATTTACTTCTTTGAACACTCTTTAATAAAGTAGTTCCAGCTCAAAATGAATGGTTCTCTCAACTCTTGAATGGTATTGTGGAATCATAGTGGTGGAGTGATTTTAAAAGAGAGTGGAACTATGCTAGCGCAAATGAAAAACAAAGAGCAGAGATGCATAACAATAATAAGCTCAAAAGGAAGCAGAACATTGATACAAGAATAACAGAACCTATTGTGTTATACTTTACTGACAGTATTTGTTGGGTCTGTAGTTGCCTTGCATTCCTTAGTAGTTGTTTTCTACTATGTAAACACTTAGTTTGAAAAGTTGTAAATTTACCTAATAGAGATTGTAGACAGTTAATTAGAAGTGAATTTAAATGTCACACAACATCACCATTTCTTAGAATAAGAGGAACTGAAACCATGTTTAGCATCTTACCCACATCAACTATGATACCAATTAAATTCAATAATTTTAATGATACACCTTATGAAATTCCTAAAAATAATTTTTGCACTTTTGTTGAATCAAACTGGCCTTTATTTGAATGTGCATTTAAATATGTTTGTATAGAAAAGTCAGCTAATAATTGGAATTATGCTCATGCAGTTATGGAATATAGTAAATTATTAGAGATAGAGAAAGAAGTGCAAGTAGTAGAATAAAAAAGACATCGACAAGAAACATGAGCACTAGAAAATAGAAAACTATACCTAATGTATCTATCATTCCCTGATAAAGTAAATTATAGTTGATCAATGTGAAAAGCACTCTCTAATTTATTTACAAGATATTTCTTTATTGTTATAATTTTATTCTCTGTATTTGAAATGTATTTTAAAACAATAAGTTAATATAATTAATAATATTGTCTGAATTAAAAAGATTTGTTTACAATCCTTAAAGTTTATTTATACCAATAGAAAAAAAGAAATCAATATTTCAATTTCTCTTGATATTATCGATCAAAAATCTTTAACATACCAGGATTCTCATTGGGTCAGCTCAAAATTTTTTCTGCAGATGCAGCTATGGCCATTTAATTATGTGATCTATAAAACCATTGGCCTCCCTAGTCATATTAGTATTCAGGTATATGTATGTACTAGAGATGCAGGTGGAACTTGAAGTATTGGGATTTGCCATAACATAACAGAGTTATAACTTTTTGCCTTAAATTATAGCATGCTATAATATGCATATATCTCATAACTTAATTTTATATGTCAAAACTTGCCATAACTCAATTTCATATCAGATATGACTGTAACATGTTATATCATCTTTTTATAGGCTGATTAGTTACTTCTTCAGATGAGTTATTTTGACTAAGGTCTGATCCACTTATTTGGAAATGTCAATTCAACTATTAATGGAAAATGACCTTAACTATGTTAAACATAAAGAGCAATGGTGTCCATTTTGTATCAGTCGAAATCAGTCAATAAAGGATATGCATAAACTTGTGCAAACAAAAAATAGAGATTGCCTTACAGATTGATATTATGATTCGCAAACAAAATTGGAATAGATTTGTAAAAACAATCATAGATGGGAGGCTGTTCCTAATAGTATTCAACAAGAAAGTTGGGAACCATATTGCGCAGATAATATAAAATTAACTCTTGAGGATGCAAAGCAAATTGCATTATCTAGACATTGGGAATGTCTTTCAGAGAAGTATGTTAATAGTCAATCACCATTATTATAATATTGCAAAAAAAGCCATTTATGGCTAACATCTTTTGGTAATGTAAAAAGTGATACTTGGTGTCCATTTTGCTATAAATATAAACATGAATAATTATGTCAAGAAATTTTAACAAAGTATCTTGGTCCATTATCTGAAAATCACAGACTAGATTTCTTGAAAATACTGTGTATCTAATAAGTTTAGAACTCAATATTCCTTACTATTATTATGGTTTTGCAATTGAAGTACAAGAAGAATAGCATGAAAAATATATTAAATTCTTTCATAGTGGAGATCCCAATAAATTTATCAAACAACGAGAGCAGGATTGACTAAAAAAAGAATTGTGTGAAGAAAACTGGATCATTTTAAGGTATGTTTGATATTACAAAACCCATATGTAGTTATTCCAGAGCATCTTTAAGAATTGGGTCTCATTAAATAAACTCAAAACTTTAAATACTAATTGTTACATATTATAGTATAGAAAAATTACCTTTTAATCAACTGAAAAAGCTTTTATTGTTTTTATTATATGATTGTTTATTATGAACTAAAAAGAGAAATATATCAATGAAATTATTGTATTCATAATTTATGTAAGATCAATATTTTCGAATCAGTTCAAGATGCCCACATATTACAACCATTTTTAATATCAATAAAGATCAATCCAACTGAAGAAGAGCATTTGCATATGAAAGTCATGAAGGTCTTTGTTTAGCTCTTGCATCATTAAAGAATGCTGTAACATCATGAACCAATAGCTAAATTTATAAATATATAAGATTAGTAGAAGTTTAATATTATAATGTAAATCTACATTAATACATACTAATCATTTCAATACATTTTTATAGAAATAAATGAAATTTTTCATTTTAGAAAATTTTTAAGAAAGATTGGCATTATCAATCTTGTTTAATTTATACATTTCTAAATTAATATTTAGTAACCAATCATCAGTACATTCTTACAGTATAATTTTTCAATAAAAAAAAAACACCTACTACAATGATCAAGAAAATATAAATATATTTGAAAACAAAAACTTTGGCCACCGAATACATACAACTTCTTTGATAAACATTATCTGCTTTTGATAGTTTCCTTTACAATATTTATGAATATATTCTTTAAATTATCTGTTATTTTTTTGATTTCATTAGTTTTCTTTTTATCTTTTGTTACTGGTCTCGAGCCTTCAACATAAATAAGCTGATACTTAACAGCATCTGTCATGTAACCAACTTCATCAGCTCAATTATCATTAGTGTAATTTTTCAATATTATCTCATCAAATTTATAGTGTATACTAGCAATATACTATAAAGAAGCATTGAGACACAGGTGAATAAAAGCATTAAGATATGCATATTTTATTGTAGTAATATTTAAAAGTGGGTTCTGTTCTTTGAGTGAAAATGCTTTAATACTACACAAAAGAAAGAAATATTCAGAATAGAATCTGAAAAAATAGATTAATATAATGATAATGGCTATATACAATTGTGGCAATGTACAATATATAACTTGTACTACTGCATTTATTACAAAATCATCTTTTTCTGATGCTTTTAAATTATCAATTTGGGAATTTCACTTCTTGGTTGTTAAGTTTTGTGAAAAAATTTTATAAGAAATTTATGAACATTTGCAAGGACCAATATCTTGGTCATGGTATCCATTTCTGTTAGATATGATGTTGCTATTTGTCTTGAAAGTTCTTTTAAAAAGGGTGATTTTAATCAGAGGTCAATTAGATCACCATCAAGGTATTGCACTTTATAAATTGTAAAAATTTCTTTTGATATGTCTGAGAGTTCAGTATTTCCCAAAATGACTGTTATCTGATAGAAAAAAATCAGTATTAAACATCTTTTAGTTTAAAGTGCATTATTAGATAACTACTTACAATATTATCTTAAATAGTTCTCTTCATATCATTTCCTTGGAAGTAATTTTTTTAAAAGAATTCTCAGTCATTGCTTCCTTTTCATTTTCTTGAGAGGGGTTTTTATCTGTGTATATAATTTTTTTAATGAAAGTTCCAACATCTGTACCTGTAAGTAATTCACGATAATTCAGTACAATTAATCTTCTACTTCTTGTTCTTTTTTCAGATTTAGTTTTGTACTTGTTTATAAGGTGTAAAGGAAAAACATCAATTTGTTATTTATATCATAAATGATTGTTAACATTCGCTATTCACTGTAAGGAATTAATACAATAATAGAGTCACTTAATCTCACCTTTTTTGCTAGAATTGTAGCTTCTTTAGTACTCATCTTTTTTTTATCATCATCCACATCTTGATAATGTTTCCACTGACAATTGTCATTGTATGTTGCTCTATCTCTGGTTGAAAGTTGGTTTATCTGTTTTACCTTTATAAGATTGACTTTGATTCATGCATAATCTTTTCTGTAGTTCTTTAGTGATACAGTCCAGTTCTTGACAAACAAAGAATAATAATGAAATATACAACAATAACAATATAGAGTAAAAGATATAAAGTAAAAGAAGCATTGGACCAAGGGCTCTGTCCTTGTAAGACCTGAAGTTCCAGCTTGCACTAAGCATTGAATCTAAAGTTCATTACTGAAGATCTAAAGTCCTAGCTTGCACTAAGTGTTAAACCTAAAGTTCATCACTATCAAGACAAAAAGCTCATTCTACTCTATCAGCATGCATACTTTCCAGTTATCCAGTATTTCTCAAGCTTTTTTCTTCTTTGTTATATTAAATCCAGGATTAGAATTTGCAATATTTCAAAGATCTATTGGGACCTAAGAAAAAAGGATTTGATTGGGAGAGTAGTCTGAAAGTAACCAAGACTGGAATGTGAGAGAAGCGGTGAACATGAGGATGGGCTGTGAAAAAGGATTAGCCTAATCAAGATTGGAAGCACCTCTGGCGCTGTGGAACGTCCTGATATAGAAGATAGCAAATGTATAGAGGAAGTAACCTG